TAGTCTAGAACAGTGGTCGCCAACTGGCAGTCTGTGAGGTCTGAAAGGTTGGCGACCGCGGGTCTGGAAGACGTCTTTGTGAGTCATTGGGCCATGCCCTTGCCCTGGCTCCTTTCCAAGAAATAGGTGTCACTCACCACGTGTCATCTTTCCGTTCCTGCAGGATTGAAGCCATTACCAGCTCGGGACAGATGGGTTCCTTCATCCGCCTCAAGCAGTTCTTGGAGGTAAGACGCCCTAGACCCACTCATCCCAAACGGGTGTTGGCCTCAAACAAGCCTCTGCCTGACAGGTCTTGGACTCCAGGCTCTCTGATTGAAGTCTCTTCTTGATTTTTCCAAACCCTACTTGTTTGTCCATAATTTCCCCAGAACCTTAAAGACTGCCATTTCTCCTTCCTGCATGCCATTGCCCGTCGGGAAGCTCCCTAAGAGAGGAATAAAACCTGTCTAATGAGTCCTGTCTCACCAGTCCATTTTGGCATGGTGGCCAAGGTTCTTCTCTTTAAAAAAGAAAGAAAAATTTTTAAATTGATTTTAGAGAAGAGGGGAGAAGAAGAGAGAGAGAGAAACATCAGTGATGAGAGAGAATCATTGATTGGCTGCCTCCTGCATGCCCCCGACTCAAGCTGAAACCTGGACATGTGTCCTGACCTGGAATCGAACCGTGAACTCCTGGTTCATAGGTCCACGCTCAACCACTGAGCCACGCCAGTCGGGCCCAGTCTCAGGTCTGGGGAGATGGTGAGTTTCTCCACAAGAACAGACTGAACTTTCAGCCAGACTCCTCATATTTCTCAGCAGTTAACATTTGTAAGCAGTTAGTGTTGACAGGTAACAGGACTCTGGTAGGTCTGCCGACACAGCCCACTGACTTCCGGTTCCCAGGAGCCCAGTTGGGAAACCAGCGATATTGAAAGGTGGGCCAGGCAATGGGAGACAGAGAGGGCAGGCAGAATGATAGCATAGCATTTGTCTTCGGCTGAGCTTCATGCAGAAACAAGTCTTAGATACAACCACATGCCTACCACCTTTTCCTTTTTTGAGCACTGTTCTGTGGGGCCTAAGCTTGCTGTCCCTCAGGGTTTCTTCTAATTGGTAAGCGTTGGAAGCAGTGTTAACAGAAAGTCGTTGTTTTCTTCCTCTTCCTCTGACCAGAAATGTTTGCAGCGCAAGGAGATTCCTGTCCCCAAGGGCTTTCTGACTTCCTCCTTCTGGCGTTCCTGAGGTCTGCTCCTCACCCACCATCACCTGTTTGTCGAAGAGGTGCCATAATAAAGCAACTGAACATAGCTGTATTTGAGAGAGCAACGGCAGACTTAGAAACCTACCACTCTGTATTTTTATACATTTATGCCTTGTGACTAGGAAAGGTTCTCCTGGGTCACAAAAGTCTAGGTGGTCTGATGACTCCTCAAGGGATCCACACGACAGAATAAATGGCTTTGGCCTTCTCGCTTTGGCAAACGTTTTGAGTGTTTAGCACTTGAGGCCACTCTTTCATTACCTTTCTGACTCCTCTTTTCAGAAAGGAGGTGGTACCTGAGCGGTTCACGCTGAGCTGAAGTGAGCCCCCCACTTCCCAGTGTCCCGTGGGAGGTGAGGCCCGAATCCTTCCATACGGATCTGAGCTGTGGCTGCTTTGCCTTTCTCAGCTTGTGACGTAATTGGCAATTCAGAGGAAATGCCTGCGGTAGAGATGGCATTGAGGGTCGCCTAGCGTCTGGGGTTAGGACCTGCCACGTGTTGTGTTGCACCAAAAGCACTGTTTGCCCTCTTACTGGAATTCAGTGCCCGGATGACAAGAGATGCATGAACCAGGGCAGGTGCCTTCTGTGTGTGTGTGTGTGTGTGTGTGTGTGTCTCAGTTTGAAGAAGATGGGCTGAGATGGAGCTGGCCACATTATGCATGAGCTGAGCATCCAGAATCAGTGACTTGGAGTTAAACAGAGATGTTAGGAATTGAGAACTGCTTTATTGTTATTGTTTTACTTGTTCTGACTTATGAATGATGATAAATTTGCCTGACTAAACCCACTACAAAAATCCAAAGCTTGGCTTTTCAGATAAGAGTCGAGATTTGCGTATGGAAAGATCGCTGCCTTTTATAAAAGCTGCGGAGGCAGCGGCCTGGTCTCTTCCTCCTTAACTGTCGTGTGTGGGGAGTGGGGTGTTTGCAGAGACTCCCTGGTTCTGTTGTAGTGACCTGTCTATCAACTGTTTACTTTGGTGCCAAAACATAAGTAATAAAGTTTGAGTTTTAAAAATCCATTGCTGGTATCTAGTTGGTTCAATATGATCAACTTCTGTGCCTTGAGCTGTTCAATCACTGGGGCGTGGTAGCGCCAAGTCTGGGTATAGAGAAGCACACATTTTTTCCTTTTTTGCCTATTGACCTTTACTTTGGGAAAAGTGGCCCTTTTAAAAAAAAATTATACAGCAGCAACTGATTCTGTTTTATCTAGCAGAAATGGAAAAATTACTAAAGATTTGCAATGTGGACACAATGGAATGAATGATGGGAGACGTGGGCTCAATTCACTTAAGGTTTTGTGGCTGTGGGTAGGCGTCTCACCCTCTCTGAGCCCCACGATCCCCACCTGCAAAACTCAATTGGCACATCAGTAGGTTTCAAATTGTGTTCGTAGCAGTCTCAGCAGTGCTCCCAGCCTGTGTGTCATGGCCACTGACCTCAGCCGGCCACTCTTTTCCTGTGCGGTACAGTCAGCAGCATCTTCTAAGCATCATGACGGGGGACAGGTTGGGAAGCAGGGATGCGGGATGGAGCTCCGCCCTGTAGCCAGTCAGCACATGGAGGCTTTTATGCAAAGTTTCTTTAAGATACCACTGCCATCTGCTGGGAAATTGTCCTATTCGGAACTCAAAATCTGTGACACTAGCAGGCGAATGGTGCAGCTCACATTTTGCACCTTTAATATATAGTTTATTGATTTTTCACAGAGAGGAAGAGAGAGGGATAGAAAGTTAGAAACATCGATGAGAGAGAAACATCAACCAGCTGCCTCCTGCATGCCCCCACTGAAAATGTGCCCGCAACCAATGTACATGCCCCTGACTGGAATCGAACTTGGGACCCTCCAGTCCGCAGGCCGACGCTCTATCCACTGAGCCAAACCGGTTTCGGCAGCCTTTTTGCTTTCTGTGCTAGGTGTGTTGGGGTTCTCTGTAAGGCTGTGTGTGGGAAAGTTCCTCCACCAAAAATTTAGCGTGAGAAGGCAGTGGACAGCCTGATCGCCAAGGTCTCTGCTCCTTTGAACCACTCCATGGAGAGCACTTCTGATGCTGGAGGGTTTTGCCTCTAGCCCTGTTTAACAGCAGCTTGCTCGTGTCATTCAGTGCTTGGTATTCCTAACGGGTTCTTGATGGGAAACCAAGAAGAGGCATTTGGGAGGCCAGGTTTTTGATACTCCCTGATGGTGTCACCTTCAGGGATAGTGACTGCCAATAGATGCAACTCCTGATGGGCAGCAGCATCAGATTCCTTAGAGTAGAACACTGGAGGACTGCATTCTGTTCTTAAGTTCAAGTACTCACTTGCCTGCTTGCTTCCTTGCAGGCTTGACCTCATTTCTCAGGCAGCGTGCCCATATTGTTGGTATGGCATTGTCCTACATCATTCTATTTTTTTTTTATTTCTCCCCCTCCCTCTCCCCTGTCCTACATCATGTTAAAGCAAATGTGATGATCTGAAAATTCAAAACCCTACACATCCCTTGAATAGAGGAATGGAGTTCTGGGGATGTTCACCCAGGCACTGAGCGCTTCCCCCACTTCTCAAGCTTCCTCTGACGATAGCAGTGACATCATGAAGTTTGGGTGTCTTCTCTCTCAGCTGGGACACCCCAAAGAGCCCCAGACCTTCACACAGGTGCCTTATCGGGCCTGCAAATTCATCCCCTATGGTCTATTCCACCTGAGTTTCTGATACTGATTTCCGGTGGATCTGCAGAAAACAGATGAGAGCTGCAGTCTTCAGGCCGGGAGATGAATTTACAAAAACACCAATTTTAAAAGAATTGATCCTCTAGGTTGCAGCCAGGCTTTCTTTCCAAAAAAATAATTACTTTATACAGATGACGTATCCAAGAAGCTTATTTTTCTTAGCGCCTTCAGGACAATTATACTAACTGTATTATGTGATCCTGCGCCAGAAAAAATGCCTTCTTGTGTGTTTGTCCTATAAAGGACATTGGGACAATGGCAAAACTTGAATAAGGTCTGTGTATGGTAGGTACTGATATTATGTCAACATTAATTTCCTGACTTCTATGATTGTACTCTGCTTATAAAAATGAATGTTTTTGTTCTTCAGAAATAAACATGAAATACCTGAGGTAACTGGCAAGATATCTGCAACTTATTCTCAAATCATTTGGGGCAGTGTGTGTGTGTGTGTGTGTGTGTGTGTGTGTGTGTGTGTACACAAGTATATAATGCATAGAATAGCCGAAACCGGTTTGGCTCAATGGATAGAGCATCAGCTTGGGGACTGAAGGGACCAGGGTTCGATTCTGGTCAAGGGCATGTACCTTGGTTGTGGGCATATCCCCAGTAGGGGGTGTGCAAGAGGCAGCTAATCGATGACTCTCTCTCATCGATGTTTCTAACTATCTCTCTCCCTTCCTCTGTACAAAATCAATAAAATATATTTAAAATAATAATAATAATAATAAAGGACGTGGTCAAATGTTAACAAATTGGAGAATCTGTGTGTAGGGTGTGAGGTTTCATGTTCTGTAACTTTTCTGTAAATGTGAAATTATTTCAGAGTTTAGAGAGTTTTTCCCCACCCCGCCAAAACAAACAAAGCCATGCTTCCAGTCAATGAGGAGGCAAAGTCCGGCTCTATTATAGAATCCACAGTGAAGTTCCCTCGAAGTTGTCATCACCCCGTGAGCGTTGACTGCAAACAGGTTTTTCAAGGTGCTTCCTACTGGTAGTGGAGCAGTGACTTGCAGAATGGAATGTTCATTCAGTGGAGACTGATTTATGGGCTTTAGGGCTGGATGGTTTGAGCTAAAAGTGCTGGGAGCTCAGAAGACAGATCCGTTTCACTTAGGGCAGCTTTCCCAGAGAGTTTTTCTGCAGGATCCTAGAAAAAAAAGTTCCATAGTCAAAGAAGATTGGGAACTGTGTTCCATGTTCAAGGTTAACGAGGTGAAGTAATAGATGAAATAAGAAGTCCTAACCGGTTTGGCTCAGTGGATAGAGCCTCGGCCTGTGGACTAAAGGGTCCCAGGTTTGATTCCGGTCAAGGGCATGTACCTTGGTTGCGAGCACATCTCCAGGAGGGGGTGTGCAGGAGGCAGCTGATCGATGTTTCTGTCTCATTGATGTTTCTAACTCTATGCCTCTCCCTTCCTCTCTGTAAAAAAATCAATAAAACATATTTAAAAATAGATGAGATAAGAAGGGCAGTGTTGGTAATTGTTGAAGGTGGTGATGGGCATATGGAAGTCCATTGTACTAGTGTTACAAATCTTCCATAATAAAATGTTTTCCTTCTAAATCAAAGGAAACACTGGCCAGGTGAATAAGTGCCTAGGTGTGTGTGTGTGTGTAATTGATTCAGAGAGGAAAGGAGAGGGGGAGAGAGAATCATTGATTGGCACCTCCTGCATGTCCCGTACTGGGGATCGAGCCTGCAACCCAGGCAAGTGCCCTGACCAGGAATTGAACTATGACCTCCTTGTTCATAGGCCGATGCTCACCCACTGAGCCATGCCAGGCCAGGCCAGTCACTGATTTGGAGCTCTGTGCTGTTCCTTGCTAGCCAGGATTGTCATCTGGGAGGAAGTGCAGTTCGCTTGTCAGTAGGACTCCCTTGTTGGGACCTAAAATAGTGGGAGTACTGGTGCTTGGGGTGTCTGAGTGTGTGCTTGTGTGCATGTGCGTGTGCATGTGTGTGTGCGTGCGTGTGTGTGTGTTTGTGAGAGAGAGAGAGAGACTTGAGACTTGACTTTCCCAGGGAAAGTGGGCAAGTGACTTTCCATGCTAGAACATGTGAAAAAATCATCACATTTAGTGTATTTCCCAATGGGTGACTCTTGAGCAACTTGGAAAGGTCGAAAAGGTGGGATTGGGACTACGGAGATGCCTAAATTTAGGGCACATATCAACTCTTCAGGGAACAGCTGACATAGAAAAAGGAGCTTAATTTCAGTCCTACCCCCTGCTTTTCCGTAGGCCTGGAGCTCTGTGCCTAAGGCGGTGATTGGTTAAGCTGCTACTGTCCTAAGGTTTGTTTTTTTCCTAACGTCTCTCAGACAACAAAGAGTGCCATTATCTGCTTTGTCATCTCCCTCTTCCCACACTTGGCAGGGTTAGGCACCTGGTGAAATTGGTGGGAGGTGGGGCAGGCAGACAATAGAACACCTGCAGAAAGGTTTCTTTAAAATGGCTTAGGTCAGTGCCAGATGCTGAATGGGGTGGGTGGGTGAATGGGAGGTAGAGAGAGAATGTTTTTGGCCATATCTCAGATCAAAGGATCAATAATCAGATTTTAGTTTCTGTATCAATACAGTAGCTCTAAGGCCTCCAGTCTGTCTTGCTGTTGGCTGGAGGCCTCACTATGAGCCAGAATGGTTTAAAAGAAAAATCGCCTGCCCTGGCCCATTGGCTAAGTGGTTAGCATCAGCCCTGGCACCAAAGGGTCCTGGGTTCGATTTCTGCCCAAGGGCACGTACCTGGGTTTTGGGTTCTGGGGCTCATGCCGGAGAGAAACCAATTGACGTGTCTCTTACGTGTTTCTCTCCTCTCCCTCCCTTCCACTGCCTCTGAAAAAGCAATGGAAAAAATAACCTCGGGTGAGAATTTTAAAAAAGGAGAAAAAAATAGAAAAACCCTCCCTTTTATAGCTTCTGCCCATGGCCTTGAGACTGGTTCTTTTGCTGGAACAGGGCTTGGAAGCTTTGGAGAGCTCTGATTGTTAGCCATTTTGCACCGGGAGCTGAGTGTTTTTTTGCTGCTACCCGCTGGAAGAGGCTGTGAATGCCATCGGCTGCTCCCAGAAACGCACAGCCTCGGAGCAGTGACTCGGTCCTGTTTTCTCCATATAGAAGATTGCAGGAAATGCCTCCTGGTTCCTCCGTTTTTCCTCCAGATTCTGTCAAGCTGCTTCTTGGGTGTGGTCACTCCTTTTCTTTCCTCTCCGCCCTGGTGGCGTGTAGGAATAGGATTTTTCCTCACTATCATGGCTACGGCCAGGGCTACTTAGAAGCCAGACTGCAGATCCCTGGCACAGGGGAAGAAGCCAGACTGCAGAGGACCAGGAGGCTGGGGCCGGGCCTGAGCCCCAGTCCTGGTGCTGTGCCCAGTGCCTTTATGTTATGTAAAGGGGAGGGCTGCCGGTAACCGGGAGGCTGAGGCCTTCCCGAGCTGCAGAGCTCCCGGTCTGCTTGACTGCACAGGAATGAGGCTCTGCTCCCAACGGCTGCGGTCCAGCTGTCACCCAGCGGGGCTGGGGAAAGGGCGTCCTCACCCAGGGTTCTGGCCCTCAAACTGCCAAGACTGTGCAGAACAGGAATTCCAGGAGTCCTCTTATTTTTCTTGTGCCCACACCCCAGCATCCACCATCCCAATGACCCCCTTTCCTGTGGGAAGGCAGTATTTCACGCAGGCTGTGAGAAGGTTCTGCCTCTTGATTCAAATCAGCTTCTCCTCTTGCCAGCTGCCTGACCCACCTGCCTGGCCGAGGGTGAGACACCCAGCTTCCGTGTCAGCGTGCTCATTTGCAAAATGGTGGAAGCAATACCGATCTCATAAAATTACTGCAAAGATTTAAAGAACAGAAAGTGACACACGCAATGCTTAGCATACTGTAGGTTCATGAGGAGAGTTCAATTAATTGTGCCAGGAAGAACTTTAATGCCTTGTTTAGAAAATACGACTAAATGCATCCTATTCTACTGGTGACCCGTGAGAAAGCTTCTTATGTGATAATATAATAAATGATTAACTCTCCACATTCTGAATGACACTTGAATTCCAAATGAGTCGACTTTTATGTTTTATCGTCGGATTTGGCCTTTGCTTACCACTTCCTCAAACCCGGAGCCCCGACACCATCCTCCGTCTTTGACCCCAAACCCCAGACCCAGCAGCAGAGGTTGGCTTGAGTCCGCGGCTCCCGACGCGGCCTGGGAAAGTGGGCGAGAGGAAGAGAAGCGCACGGTGACCTCATCCTCGGGGCTGGGCGTTTTCCGGCGGGGCCACAGCATCCCCAGCCAGACTGCGGCGACGGCCCCGCCCCGCCCTTCGCTGCAGTCCTGGAAGGCTCCCAGGGGCGGAGGGCGGAGGTTGGAGAGTGGAGGGTGGGGTGCCGAGAATCTCTGCAGGGCGGGGAGGGGCAGGATTGGAGGATCCGAGCTGCGGGACGGCGGGCGGTTGGAGCCTCTCGGGCCGCCGGGGCGGAGGCAGCGGCTCTATTGCACCATCGACCCCCCACCCCTGGCGCGCGTCCTCCTCCCCCCTATCCCGCCGCACTCCTCCCGCCATCGACTTTCCCCTGCACCGCCGCTTCGGCTCCTTCCGGGAGCGCTCGGCCCTTTCCGTCCAGCGATCGGAAGGCGAGCCGGCGGGAGCCCCGCCCCCTCCGCTCCGGCCCCGCCCCTCGCGCCGCGCCCGGCGCCGCTTCCCCCTCGCGCTCGCGCGCGCCCGCCCGCGGCCGGAACGCGCGTGGCCGCGTATAAAAGAGGCGGGGCGCGCGCGCCGCCGCCACTCTCCGCTGCGGAGCGAACGGCGAGGAGCGGAGGCCACGGAGGCGCGTCGGTCCCTCAGCAAACCCCCCGTCAGCCCCACGCACTCGCTGCCCTCACCCGCCGGAGCCGGTGAGGAGGGGAGAGGGGAGCCCGGGCGGCCGCGGGCCGAGGGCAGCGGACCCCTGGACGGGGGCCGGGTCGCCCCCGGGGAGGGGCGGGGCCAGCGCGCGGACAGGTGAGCCGGCCTCGCCGCTCCCTCCGTCGGGCTGGGAGCCGGCCGAGCCGGTAGCGACCGGCTCGCGGCGCGTGGGCTGCGGAGGAGCCGCCCGGCCGAGCCCGGGCGCCCGGCGGCTGGAATGTCATTGACTGGGCGGAGGGGGTGGCGAGGCCGCGTCCCTCCCCCGCCCCCCGCCCCAGCCCGGCCGCCGCCCCGCCCGGCCCCATCCGGTTGCGGCAGGTGGGGCGAGGGCTCCCGGGCCCGGTGGTCACCGCGCCCCTTCCTGCGGGCGCTTCCCCGCCGCTCCCGCCCCCTTCCCGCGGGGGGACCGACCCTGCGGCTCCTTTTCCCGAATCCCCGAGGGCAGTGCCGGCCGGGGCACGGGGAGAGCCGAGAGCCTCAGGGGAAGGCTCCGGGATGTTCATTGCGTCCTGCTCGGCAGTTCTCGGCCTTCCCGGACGCAGGAGGGTTCGAGGCTGGCCATCCCCTTTCCTTTTCTTTGCAATAAACACTTCTTTCCGACCCACTTATAACAGCTGCGGCTCTTGCTTTGTGCGAGACCACATCAACTAATTTTATAGCTTAGAGTTTTGGTTTGTTTCCCCCGAGACCCGGGCTTTTCCAGGATGTTATTTGTAAAAAAATTCTTCCGGTGTTGGAAGGATAGAGCAGCCTTTTGTTTGAAAGTCGTCCCTGAATTTGACTAGATGTTTCCCAAGGCAAATTGCCTTTAGAAGTCTCTCTGATGTGCTGGGTACAGATGCATTTTAAATAAAGGGCTTGTTAGGGTGGAGGGCTTGCTGGATGTGTTTTACATGAAAAGCCCGAATAGCAAAAGAAAAGCTGGGTGGGAGATGTGCCTGAACCGCTGCCATCCCTTCCTGCATCGCTTTTATATAATACATCCTGAGATCCGTAGGCCCTTTGTTCTGTCTTCATCGTGGTATTTTAGGAAAACTTACCAGCCATCATGGCCGTTAGGGGAGAACAGAAGAGAGACCTTCTGAAGTATGTGCCTAACGTGTTGAGAAATCGCGTCGTCATAGCGATGGTACTTGGCTAAAGCAGAATCTGTCAAAGATGGAAGGCTGGGGGTGTCTCGCAGCCAGGAAACAAAATCTTGAGAAGAGCTGCATGAAGCGGCTGAGCCAAGGCTCCGGCTTTGCAAACCAGCCATGCATTTTCCCTTCTGTTGCAGCTCATGCCTTAGATTTTTGAAAGGTCACATTGAAGTCAGAGTTTAAAAAATGGGCTGCAGTGAGAGCCTCTGTGCCGGAAATTAACAATAAGCCCTTTTTAGTAACTGGGCCAATAATCACTCAGAGGACCTTCAAAGTGTGTTAGCTGTCATCCGGGGACCTAGATGGAGAGAGGAGGCTGGTGAGGAGGAATGAATTGCTCTGCGCTGGACAGGTGTGGAGCCATCAGCTGAGGAGCATTCTCTGACGTAGGTCTGGGGCGGTGTGTTTTGTGGTCATCTACTAATTGGAGAAATCTGAACTGTCACTGGCTCTCATAGGAGCTCAGCAAGCCATCTGACGAACAGGTTTACTGAGGTGGTTTTGCTCCTTTTTCCTTGCCTGCCTCCATCCCAAAGGGAGGGGCCCACTGCGGATCAGGAAGTCCCCAGTGCCTGCTGCTGCTGAACCTGCACTGAAGGCCAGCCTGTGTGGGCCAATGGAGGACTCCACTGGCTCTGCAGTGGGCGCTGCTGCAGCTTATCAGCTGTGGCCTATCAGCTGTGGGGGGAGAGGCAGAAGAATGCAGCGCGAGTGCTGACCAGGAATGTAGGAGGGACACGCATAGCTGATCACTTGGAGCCAGTGGACTATAGCAACAACTGTTCTTTTTTGTTGTTGTTAATCCTCACCCAACGATATTTTTCTGTTGATTTTTTTTTTTTTTTTTTTAGGGAGAGTGGAAGAGAGAGGGAAGGACAGAGAGAGAGAGACATCGATGTGAGAGAAGCACATCAATTGGTTGCCCCCCTGCACGAGGAGAGCTAAGGAGGAGCCTGCGGCCAAGGTGCGTGCCCTTGACTGGAATTGAACCTGGGATCCTTTGGTCCGCAGGCTGGCACTGTCCACTGGGCCAAACCAGCTAGGGCCAGAGCAACTGTTCTTGCACCTCCCTTCCACCTTTTTTGCATATTCCTCTTGTACTTGTTTTCTTTTTAAATTAATTAACTATTTAACATATCTTATTGATTTTCCTACAGAGAGGAAGGGAGAGGGATAGAGAGTTTGAAACATCGATGAGAGAGAAACATTGATCAGCTGCCTCCTGCACACCCTCTCCTAGAGATGCACTCGCAACCGAAGTACATGCCCCGGACCAGTATCCTGAGTCCTCAGGCCGATGCTCTATCCACTGAGCCAAACCAGTCAGGGCTCTTTTTTTTTTTTTTTTTTTTTAGGTTATTTTCTTCTTTTAATATATGTTTTTATTGATTTCAAAGAGAAAGGGAGAGATAGAAACATCAATGATGAAAATCATTGATTGGCTGCCTCCTACCGGAGATCGGGGCCAAAACGCAGGGATGTGCCCTTGACTGGAATCGAACCTGGAACCCTTGAGTCCACAGGCCAACGCTCTATCCACTGAGCCACACCGGCTAGGGCTTGTACTTGTTTTCAACAGGAAATAGAGGAAGTGGACCAGTAAATTAGGCCCAAGTCAGATCTTTGCAGCTGGAGTTCTTATTTCTGATGATGTCATGAAATTATGCTATTTTGTTATTGAATGGAAGGGGATTTAGGAATCATGTAGTCCTAGGAGTCTCAATTCATTGGAATTTTTATTGTTAAACAGAATATTCAATATTATTACTTTATTTGAAAAGGGGGGAAACTGAGGCTTGAAAGGGGGTATGACGTAGGCACAGCAGCACATTTAGATAGGAGCTGCTAAGACCAGATAACTTCGGTTCTGTTTCCACATGTTAAATCCCTGGTGGGATTTAGAAGGTACTGGAAAAAATATCTGAAATTTGATTTTAACCTGTATTCATGTTTTTAAGGATCAGTTTTCTTTAGTTTGAAATGATTTTGTTCCCTTTGCCCTTAGAAGCTTGTTATCTTGCTCTTCCCCCGCCCTTTTTAGACTCCACATTCTTCCATCATGTTGTCATCGTTTCGTAAGCGCAGAGTCCAGGTATTTGACCAGCATGCAGGAAATGCGTTGCCTTTCCGTTTTGCCTGATTGCAGTGAAGACTCTTGTGTCGGAGCAGTTGAATGATCCAGAGAGTGGGGCAAACTCTGCTTGCATGAGTTTTCTGTTAGGGGCTCTGTTTTGTTTTTTGGGGTGTTATATAAACAGAAGTCTTAGTAAATTTATTGTAAAATTTCCAGAGCCGCCTGTTTTTTTACCTTCCTCTCCTTAAGGCATGAAGATATTATTTCTTATACTAGAGTTTGCATGTAGTGTTTGCTTTTTGATGGTTACTTGGTTCTTAAGAACCAAGGGGCGAAACAGATTATCTTAGTCGTTTGCAAAAAATAATCTGACATGTAGTAAAAATAGTATTTTACATTTGGTAAATATTGTAAACTCAGGTTTGTTTCCTGTTCCCATTGACTTTTCATTTTTTATATTTATTTACTTATTTATTTTAAAATATATTTTTATTGATTTTTTACAGAGAGGAAGGGAGAGAGATAGAGAGCTAGAAACGCCAATGAGAGAGAAACATCGACCAGCTGCCTCTTGCACACCCCCTACTGGGGATGTGCCCAAAACCAATGCACATGCCCCTGACCGGAATCGAACCTGGGACCCCTCTGTCCGCAGACCGATGCTCTACCACTGAGCCAAACCGGTTTCGGCTGACTTTTATTTTTTTAAAAATAAATATTTTTATTGATTTCAGAAAGGAAGGGAGAGGGGGAGAGAGAGAGATATCAGTGATGAGAGATAATCATTGATTGGCTGCCTCCTGCACGCCTCCTATTAGGGATCAAGCCTGAAACTCAGGCATGTGTCCTTGACTGGAATTGAACCTGGGACCCTTCAGTGCCCAGTCTAACCCTATATCCACTGAGTCAAACTGGCTAGGGCCCATTGATTTATTTCTTCTGCCACAATCCTTGTAATGAAGTGAAGCTTGCATTTTCTTTTCCTTTTTTTTTTTTTTTTAAGCTCACTATGTATATATCTGTTGTGTTTATGTATAGTTTTTGAGTGTTTGCTAAATTGGGCCTTTTTCAAAGAGAAAAATGCTTAAATTAATGTCTTGATGTCCCAAAAGGAAAAATATAAATTTTGCGATTGTCTAGTGATTATGGGTGATAAATTCAAGGCAAGCCTTTTTATAAATCAGACTGGTTGATTATTTAAACGAGATTTATAAAAATGGGCCATGGCTCAGTGGCTAGAGCGTTGCCCTGCAGACTGAAAGGTCTCAGGTTTGATTCTGGTCAGGGGACATGTTCCTGGGTTTCGAACACACCCCCAGTAGGGGTTATGCAGGAGGCAACTGATTGATGATGATTCTCTTTCATAGATGTTTCTAACTCTCTATCCTTCTCTCTTCCTCTCTGTAAAAAATCAATTATATATAAATGTAAAAAATCAATTATATATATTTTAAATATATATATAGCCACGCTATAAATTCCTCCTGTTTTGAATCTCAGTAACAATGTTTTGCACATAAGTACCTCT